CTCAGTCTCAGTGCTGGGGTCCCTGGCTGGGCACATCGAGGGTCACTCCTGCCCTCTCCCTGCTGAGAAGGGCAAACWTTCTCATCCTGGCGGTGCTGCAGACACACACACAGAGGGACTGGATGTTTCGTACAAGGAAACACAAATCTGCGTTTCTGCGGGGCGAGATGAACTACCTCATTTATTGGATTTGGCTTCTGATTCCCTAGAGCTCTCCTCTGTGTATCCGCCTGTATGTTTTTAGCAAAATGTAATTCGTATTCGAGTGCCACCTGAACTAGGATTTTGAAAATAATTTATAATCGTGGTAGAGGAGCAAAAAGCCATATCAAGTCACTTTGTTAAGAAGGATAAATCTTTATTGAATGAAATGACTCCACTAGTTTTGTTTTCTCTTTTGGTACTGAAATGCAATTATCTTACATGTAAACACTGCACCAAATAAATTTTTTTTTTTTTTACAAATAGTTTGCTTTAGTTGTGCTTTATATCTGTGTACTTGGATTTTTATTTTTATTTTTTTTTTGGAAACTGTTGCTGGCTTCGGTGTATGAAGTGCTTTGAGAATCTGATTAGAAAACCCAAAACCAACAAGAAACAGAAAACAAAGAGAAAAAACACTCAAGAAGGTGAGCCATGAGTTATTTTAATTCCAATATTTCAGGTCCTTGAACAAACCCAGGGAAAGCGAGCAGGATCTCCAGGAATGCTGAATCTCTTTGGTGGCTGGGTCTGATGAAATCRCTCTGACTTAATTGAATTAAACAAGGAAGTTTGGCCTGCAGGCAGTGGCTTGAGGGAGTCACACCCTATTTTGTAATTCCACCTGGTGCTGCCTGGAGCAATGTGTCCTTGCTTCTCCTCTCCGGGCGTCAGATGAGTGTTTTCAACAGCATAAAGTGCACCTTGGGGGTCGGGGATACCGTAAAATAGCAACGAGTTTAAAGTACTTTCAGAACAGAAATYAAAAAATTAAGTTGTTACAGGTAGGAGGTGCTTTTTCTGACTTGCAGCATTGCAAGTCAATAGTGGCAAAATAATGTACTGGAAGGAAGGGGAAACTGGCTGCAGTGTTGAAGAGGGTTAAGGAAGTTGGATGTTGGGGTGATGCTGTCAGGCACCAGCTGCACTTTCATGTCACAGGGACAAACGCTTTTTGTCATTTCTAGCCTGAAGAGAAGGCTTATCCTGTAAGAAACCTGGGAATTACTCCATCTCACATGGGTAGAAGCACTTTTTTTTTCTAGCTGTATGCAGACATTGTATTGAATCCTCCATGTGAAAGGTGTCATGAGCATGGTGTGCAATATTGTATTTTCCATGAAATGAAGGAGCTCTTGGAAAGGTTCTCCTTGCCCTGGGGAGGAACAGGAGAAAGGCAGYGAAACACACTCTTGTAATGTTTAACATCCTGGAGATTTCGTTGCTTTTGGATATCCAAATCCTGTCCTCTAGAGAATTGCCCATCAGTCCCAAAATTTCAGGTGATGCTCCAGACATCTGAGAGAAAGAGCCTCTTAGCCTTTCTCTGCAAATCAGGGAGCTGGAAAAGGAGACTCCACAGAGCCAATGGCAGCCTGTGAATGCTCCAGTCACAGGAAATAAATAAACCTTCCTTTCCTTCTAGGCTGGAACTCTTTCATGCCCACTGTGTGCTCCCTCTCTCCCTCCTGGGCTGACTTCGTGGTGACACTTTGCAGAGGTGTCTCTTAGGTGACAGCAAGAAACAGRAAAACCCCAGCAGGACAAAAACACAAAGGGAAGTGGGAGATRATGTGTGTCATGCAGTAAGCTTCAYTRAGGAAAGTTAAGATAATTTGATTTCCCCAGTTTGTGAGTTACACAGCTTCTGTCCTCATTAAAAAGAGAAAAATGAAAACAAGACCTCAATATAAAATCATGAGAGTGCTAGCTTTTTAATGATTATTTCAGTGTTTCAGTTGCACAGAGTTCATTCGCAAATGTTTAAAAACGGGATAATGTTTATTTAATCACAACACCCCCAGTGAGGCCCCTTATGTAAAGGCAGCTGTTTGCATATAACTGATTGTGGAAAAGAAAGAAAAACTGAACACTAGAAATTAGTGGTAAAGGTCTGGGCTGATATTACATTTTTATGGGATTATAGAAAACTCTTCAGTAATGCTAGAAGACAAGAGGAGGAAAAAGTTCTCCTGAAAAACAAAGAAATTAYGACAAACTGAAGTCTCTCAGGTACTGGCAGGCTTTGGTGAGACGATCAACTCGTTGGCTGAGGTAGTTCCTGTGTTTAGCAGCTTCAGTGTCCTCCTCAAGAAGAAAGTTTAACTTCTCTTTATTTTGCAAAAGCTGCAGCATTGAGGTCTGCACGTTTTCTCCAAAGTCATGAAGGACAGAAGACAGGATGATCAGAGGGATCTGATTGGAGAGGCGTTTACTTGCTCCCTGAAAAAATGGGGGAAAAAAGGAAAAATACTAAATTGGTAAAAAGAACTGAAAAATGAAGGGTCTGTAGGTAAACTGGTAAAAARGTGGTACCAAGGTTTTAAAATGGTGGACTGAGTTACCATTCAAGAAGGGAGTGCTGCTATGAAATAGAAAATGTTTGCAACTAGTCTCTTTTTTGCCTGAAATCTAGAAATTAAGAGTGATGAGGATGTCAGGTATTGCTTTTTTCCCTCAGCACACTAAAGCCAAGGCAGGCTGTTCTCTGCTTAGCTCTGTCACTGGGATAAGGCATAGGAGGGCRTTCCTGACAAACACAACTTGAGAACAATTTCTGGTATCAAACCTGTCTTCACTGAATGCTGCCAATATGTGCAGGAAATCAAAGAGTGATTTTCCCTGAAGGTGGTAAATTCTTCCCTGAGATGGTGGTATTTAGATGGTATTTCTGATATGATTGTCCTTTTAAGTGTAAGACAACTTTGGAGGAAGCTTTAGCCTTAAGAGGAGATGTCTTCAGCAGGAGYGAGACCAGACTGTGCCTGCATTAAATCTGTTGATATCCATGAGATAAATCTCCTGCCTGACCTGAGCAGCTGCCTGGTTGATTTATGGGTGCARATTGAAACAGCTTGACCCAGAAGAGCTTGTGGAGCCCTTTCCCCATGGACATTCGCAGGGTCTGAGGGCTCACCTGGTGTTTTTGGGCCACCTGAGGTTCTAAACCTCTCCCAGCTCTGGGAATTTGCTGCCTCCAGCCCTCCTGGTGCTGGGTGAGCACTCAGGCCTGAGTGACTGGCTGCAATTAGGAGGYGCTGTCTTCCTTTCTTTTTGTAGGTCAACTTGAAAATGGCATTCACGGGTCCTGTAGGGTGTAGGTGGCCACGGACACTTCAGTGCTTCCATCTCATTCAAACTGCATTTGGTTTTGCATAAGTCAGGCCCATG